TATATTTTCTTTCTGTAAATTATTAATTAATATTTTCTTCTTTTTTTTGTTTCTRTTATAGAAGGTATAAAAGTCCAAACCACATGAAATTAGTAGGTGAAATTTTTGATAGTATGAATTGTTATTTGGAAGAAGAGAGCATAGATGGAAGAGATTTTGAGGTTATGGCTCTTGCTAGGTGCAGAAAACAAAATTTACTAAAACAATAATCATGTTTAATGGAAAATATCCTAGGTCTGGGGATTTTTTTTTTGTTCATTTTGCAGCGATGGGTATCAAATTTAGATGATCAAACATCAAATAGTTATCATTATGAATTTCATAAATATCAAGAAAAGAAAGTGCCTTGGTTGAAAATTAGTTGTTATCAATACGTAAAGTGTGGTGTAACAATGTCCCACCAAACGATGTCAATGATAAGAAATTAGTAAGTGGAAATTTTGAGAGTGACCAAGCGTTCTTCAGCAAATTAAAGGAGGCAGCGAGGACTAGGAGAGAGCAAAGTTGGAAGGTAATTTGAGGTTATGATTTTTATTTCAGTGTACAGAGAGAGAAAGAAGTTATAGGGGAAAAAACATGTTCAATGAAAACTTTGCCAAATATCTAAGAGTTTTTCTTTTCATTCTGTAACAAGAATTTTGGTCTACCACAAGCAACTTTTTCATATTCAGACACACATATGTAAATGTGAAAAAAAATATCAATTCTTAGAGTAAATAAAGAAGACAAGTCTTTATCAAAAAAAAAAAAACAGAAACATAAGTGTACAAAAGACACAGAGCTGTGCCTAGTATGTTTAAGGCCTTAAGCCAATATATTTATGAGAAAATTACAAGGAATGCCATATTTCCCCAAAAACCTTTCACCCAATGCCATGTTTCAAAACCCCTTTCACCCACTGCCACAATTGCACTGTTCATGACTTTTTTGCCCTTGGCCGATTAATTTTCAACTGACCACATCGTTTGAATGTCTGCGATTGGGGAAGTGTTTTTCGTGTTTGGCGGCAATTTCGAATTCGAGTCTTTTGATATTTTTTTTGTACTTTTCAAATTTGAGCCAAAAGAATCTTATTCAACAGATGCCGCCATCTCTTTTTGTCTCGTCATTGAAGTTTGAAGCATTTCACTTCTGTTTTAGCAATCTAACTCGAAGGCCATTATAAGAACCAATACTTGATGAAAGAACAAATACATCTTGCTTATTTCTGGAATACCTAATGAAGATGGTTTAGTCTTGATTCGCACTATACATGTTAGTCTCCTCAATTTCGTCCAGACGTGCTGAAGACGACCAGCCTTGATGAATACTAAGAGTGCTCATTTTTGTAATGAGATTGTTATATGGACAACTGTTGATTGATCGTATGTTTAATATTTCAAAAACACATAGGAAGTGGACAATTATAGTTCTCCGAATGGACAATAGTATTTTTAAAACAGAAGGTTCAGAGTTGTTTTAATTTCTGAAAACCATCACGCCAAGTGGTCAACAATTATTATTCGAATGGACAGTATTGTTATAATTGCCATCCACATCATGGACTAAAGCAAGGATTTTCATTGTATGCGGGTAGACGCATGCGTTATTGTATGCGTACAGTATTGTATACGGATTATTTACACTAAAAGGTGTAGCTTTTAGTTAAATAATGGAAAGTATTGTGGGGTCATACGATTGGACATAATCGAATGGCTAGAGTAAATTCGTGTCTCATAGATGTGTGACATGAACGACTCTAAGTCAAAACCAACTTAATTTCTAGTGAAGTGACGCCCATCACCCATCTGTCATACCCCTTGCTGAACAAGTTTATTTATTTATTTTAATTTTGCCACAGAAAAGCATATGTGTTGGGCTATTCGTTCACATGCAATTTGTCCATTGGATTAACAACCACGCAGCGGCGTTGTAATTTCAGGAAAACATCACGCCAAGTGGTCAACAATAATTATTCGAATTGACAGTATTGTTATAATTGCCATCCCACATCGTGGAGTAAAGCCAGGATTTTCATTTTATGCGTTATTGATTAGACGCATGTTTAATCAATTATGGCATTGATAATAGTATTGTTTAAGAATTATTTACTCTAAAAGGTGTAGCTTTTAGTGTAAAAATGAAAAGTATTGTGGTGTCGTACGATTGGACATAATGAATTGGTTAGAGAGCTTACGTGTTTCATAGATGTGTGACATGAACGGCTCTAAGTCGAAACCAACTTAATTTTTGTTGAAGTCACGCCCATCACCCATCTATCATACCCCTTACCAAAAAAGTTTTTTTATTCATTTTAAATTTGCCACACAAAAGCATATGGGTTATACGTCCACTTGCAAATTGTCTATTGGACATAATATGTTGGAAAAAGATGTAGCGATTTTTTATTAGTAACGACGATTACACATGAAATAACATATCTTAGACAAGTGGACCAAAAAATAAACTCAACACTATCCACAGGCAATGCATCTTCTTACTTCTCCCTGTTTGCTAAGAGATGGCGTAAATGATGACAGCCAGAAAGGAAACAATTATCGGAGTAACAACCACGCAACGACGGGGCCAAACAACATTCATTCTTTCAACCAAATCCCGGAGATCGTGTACACGATCTTTAATTACGTCCATATCCGCTTGCATATATTCCACAAGAGACCACATAGCTGGGGCGTCTTTCTGAACCCCATTTAGACCAATTGTGAAGTTGTTAATTCGTGCTTCCAATG